CAGCCCCACCTACCTCACAGGGTGTCTGTTGTGGGGAGGGAAAGGGAAAGGAGTTTGTAAGCCACTCTGAGACACCTTTGGGTAGTGAAGGGCGAGGTATAAATCCAATCTCCTCTTCTTCTCTTCTATTGTGGGGAGGGGAAGCAAAAGGAAATTGTAAGCCTCTCTGAGATCCTTTGAGTAGTGAAGAGTGGGGTATAAATTGCGGGGCGGTCAATGATTTCTTCCACTGCTGGTGGGAATGTCCAAAAATACAGCCTTTTTGGAAGCAAGTGATAGAGGAAATCACCACAATCACTTCTCAAAAACTCCCTCTAGACCCAACAGTAATCCTATTACAACTAGAAGACGGAGAAACCCAGAACATGAACATGTCAACTCTTACTTCAATTCTATTGGCCACCGCAAGATTGACTGTGGAGACAGAAATGTTGAGACCATTTTGTAATGGATAGGATTGCAGAAACATACACGGATAGGTCACACAAACCCACAACCATACACACTACCATTGTCAAAACATGGTTTACATTCATTCAATACATGGTAGAACATGACATAATCCCTCACAATCCCCAATACATAGAATGGCTGCACTTCTAAACCCTTTTTGTTATTGTTATTGGTCTTAAATCACATCTGTTTCTAATAACTTAATTATTGAACTCTGAAATGAAATTATGTACCGAGTATACTGCGTTCGTGTGCTGCACTTCTGATTATGTGGTTCATACCTTGTTTAATGTTGACAACTTTACTATTATATTTGATGCTTGATCTGTTTAAAAGAAAAATGTTCAATAAAAATTATATTGGGGGGGGAAAGAGAGGGGTATAAATCATATCTTGGTTAGGGTTAGGGCTAGGGCTAGGGTTAGGGTTAAGATACGGTTTGGGTTGGGGTTCAGGTTAAGGATAGGGTTAGGGTTATAATAGGGTTAGAGTTAGTGGTAGGGCTAGCATTAGGGTTAGGGCTAAGGCTAGCGTTAGGGTTAGGGCTAAGGCTAGCGTTAGGGTTAGGTCTAAGGCTAGCGTTAGGGTTAGGGCTAGGGTTAGGGTTAAGGCTAGGGCTAAGGCTAGCGTTAGGGCTAGGGTTAGCGCTCGGGTTAGGGTTAGGATACAGTTTGGGTTAGGGCTAGGGTTAGAGTTAGGGTTAGGGCTTGGGCTAGGGCTAGGGTTATGATTAGGACACGGTTAGGGTTAGGGCTAAGGCTAGGTATAATACACGATTAGGGTTAGGGTTAGGACATGGTTAGGGCTAGGGTTAGGTCTAGAGCTATAGCTAAGGTTAGGGTTAGGTTTAGGGTTAAGGTTAGGTTTAGGGCTAGGGCTAGCATTAGGGTTAGGGTTAGTATTAGTGTAGGGTTAGGGCGAGGGTTAGGGTTAGGACATGGTTAGGGTTAGGATAGGGTTAGTGCTAGGGTTAGGGTTAGGCGAGACACAAGTTTCCTGGGAATAAGGCCCATTGAATTAATTGAGGCATCGGTCTCTCTCAAAACATACGAAATAGCAAAACTACTTTAAAAACCTTTCCACTAACCTTGTGGGGGGGAGGGAAGCAAACATAGCAATGCCATGAGAAAGTTTAATGCGGGACAGAAAATTGAGGAGGTGCGAAAAGTCAGTTTTATTATCCACGGAGAGGAAGCGGGTCAATTTAACCCTAACCGTAAACTTAGCCTTATCCCTATCCCTAACCCTAAACCTAGCCTTAACCCTAACCCTAATCCTAGCCACAACCCAAACCCTAGCCCTTACCCTAACCCTAGCCTTAGCCCTAACCCTAACCCAAACCATATCCCTAACCCTAACCCAAACCCTAGCCCTAATCCTAACCCTAACACTAACACTAACTCTTAAACTAGCCTTAGCCCTAACCCTAACCCAAACCTTGCCTTAGCCCTAACCCTAGGCTTAACCCAAACCCTAGCCCTAACCCTAGCCCTAACCCTAACCCTAGTCTTAGTCCAAACCCTATCCCTAACACTATCCCTTTCCCTAAACCTAATCCTAACCCTAGCCTTAACCCTAAACCTAACCTTGACCCTAACACTAACCCTAACCCTAACCCTTACACTAGTCTTAGCCCTAACCTTAACCCTAATCCTAACCCTAGCCTTAGCCCTAAACCTAACCTTAACTTTAACCCTAGCCTTAGACCTATCCCTATCCCTTACCCTAACCCTCTGAAATCATTCAGTTAGCATATTTGGCTCAAGCAAAAATTAAAGGCAGTGCCATTCAAACACACCCCACACAACCCTAAGACTATCCCTAGCCCTAACTTTAACACTATCCCTAGCCTTAGCCCTAACCCTAGCCATAACCCTAACCCAAACCCTAGCCCTAACCCTAACCCTAGCCTTAGTCCTAGCCCTAACCCAAACCAGAGCCCTAGCCCTAACCTTAGCCCCAACCCTAGCCCTAATCCTAACCCTAATCCTAACACTAAATCTAACCCTAGCCTTAGCCCTAACCGTAGCCCCAACCCTAACGCTAGCCTTAGCCCTAACCCTATCCTAACCCTATCCCTAGCTCTCACCATAACCCTCGCCCTAACCCTAACCCTAAAAGTAGCCGTAACCCTAACCCGAGCCCGAACCCTCACCCTAATCCGAACCCTCACTTTAGCTCTAACACTAACCCTAACCCTCTCTCTAGCCCTAACCCTAACCCTCACCGTAACCCTTTAAAAAAAATTTATTGAGAGAAATGCAACAGAACAGCAAAGAAAAACAAAAATGCATTACAGTCAATCAGCAGGATATGAGGTGAAGACAGGACTGTAAAATCCAAGAATAGACACGGAGTAAACAAGATACCCCAACACAATCCACAAAGTAACCTTTGTATCCATCAAAACCAACCTAAAGTGAGTTTAATTTCAGCTCTCTTCATGAACAAAAATGGTGATTGAGCCTGAGAGAATCATAAAGTATTATTTTAGCATCTGACCTTTTTAATATGAATAGTCAAAAACGAACCCAAGGGATGTAGGAAGTCTTTGATGGAAGAATGTCATTTTCTGACATATATTGAAGAACCCTTGACCAGACCGCAACAAACCGATCAAAACCTTTAGCCGTATTTTGCGTGACTTGTGTAAGTTTGTCTAAAATAAACTGATCCCACACTTTTTCAAACCAAATTTGAATTGAAGGAGACGAGCTGGATTTCCAGGCAGAAGCAATGGCTAGTCTTGCAGCTGCTAACAATTTGGAAATGAGTTCCTTTTGGGCCTTGGTAGCAGAAGTTAGGTCAAGCAAATCAAGAAGTGCAAGTTTGGGGCAGAGCGGTAATGATTGTGAGGTGATCTCATTTATTTTCCCAATAACCTCCACCCAGAAGGCATTTATGTTTGGGCACTCCCACCCAACAGTGCAAATATGACCCTGTGTTTCCACACTTCTTCCAGCAGCGTGAGCTCACTGTAGGATTCATCTTATTTAGTTTTTCTGGAGTGTAATACCACCTAGTGACCAGCTTAAAAAATTGTAGACGGGTGGTAAAGTTTCTAGAATGATTGGTTGGCGAGTTCCAGATTTCAGTCCACACTTGATCCGTTATAATCATCTTTAAGTCTTCCTGCCAGCGATGTTGATGCCTTTGCATTGATTGCGTTCCTGCCTCTTGAAGTAGTTTATATAATTTCGCCATCAGTCCCTTGGAAGAGTCAGAGTAAGTCAGCAAGATGTTCTCCAGTCCAGAAAGTGGTCTAATAAAAGTCCCCTTGGCATCCAAAAATTCCATTAGGTTTTTCAGTTGTAAGTAACTATGCCAGGAGAAGCTTACCCCAGCCTGTTCTTCAAAGTATGTTTTTTCTCGCATTTTTCCATGCAAAACGAGGTCAATCAGCCAAGAAAATCCCGCTCCAGTCCAATCTTTGTATGCCCCTATCTCCTGTGCTGGTTGAAACCAGACTTGATTCACAATGGTGGTGAGTGGCGAAATGCCTGGGATCAATAGTCTTCTTTTACGATCCCAACACCTAAGCATCACATTTAGGCATGGGTTATCCCGATGAGTTTTAGGGCGACGTGAGGATGGCATCCAGCTAGCTTCTTGGATAGAGTAAGGAGCTACATAGATTTGTTCCATCTGGCACCAAAGTGGCGGGGATTCCTGTTGTGCCGTCACCATTGCTGCTAGGATGGAAGCTTGATAGTAAGCACTAAGAAGGGGGAAATCCAACCCTCCTCGTGATGCCGGCTTCGTCAAAATACCTGAGCTAATCCTGGACTTTTCCCCTTCCCACAAGAATGAAACGAGGGTCATTTGCCATCGTCACAGAGATTTGTCTGGTATGTGTATTGGAAGCGTTCGAAACAGAAACAAAAACCTAGGCAAAACGAAACTCTTAATCAAGTGAAGTCTATCGGGTAAGGAGAAGTAGAGATTGCCCCAGTCACTGAGTTGTATCTTTATGGAGTCATATAACTTATCATAGTTGTAATGCAGGAGATCTTTAAGCTCCAATGGGAATCTGATCCCCAGATGTCGCCAGGATTCCGTGACCCATGTAAAGGCCGAGTTCTTTGTGATCTGCGCCTTTAAAGCAGCTGACATCCAGATTGGATAGATTTCTGATTTAGATGGATTGATCTTCAGTCCCGAAACTTTCCCAAATCTTGCCAGAATGCACTCTATGTATGATAGTGATTGTATGGGATTGGAGATATACAAGGTTAGATCATCCGCATATAAATTGACTTTATGCTCAATTCCACCCATAACAATTCCAGAGAATTCTCCACACTGTCGCAGTTCCTCCGCCAGAGGTTCTATTGCCAGTGCAAATAGCAGGGGAGATAAAGGGCAGCCTTGCCTTGTACCTCTTGTAGGGTGAAACACATATGAAGAGCATCCATTCACCCGGACCTTTGATTTCGGATTTGCATACAGAGCTTTCATAGCTGCTGCCGCCCTTCAACATAGCCTGTCCGCAAGACTGGCCAGCCTGGGTCAGAGGCGTCAAGGCCGCGTTAGCCTTCTACGATGTCATGGACGACGGCAAGAAGAGAGGATTCCTCCTGGCCTCCTGCGGCACCGCCGTCGTGTCCCTGGCCGAACAATTGCTGTCCCCGACGGACCTAGATGCCTGCACCTTCGATCAAATTGTGAATGCGGTGCAGAATTACTATGCACCCAAGCCAACGGAGCTGACCTGCAGGGTGACCTTCTACACCCGCAACCAGCAGGGCCGAGAGACCGCCGCAGAGATCTCCAAAGAATACCAGGACCGTGACATGGAGGCAGGCAATGGCAAACCATCCCTGAAACGTCTCTTGCCGTGAAAACCCTCTGGGGTTGCCATAAGTCAGCTGTGACTTGACGACACTTTCCACCAGTACCACTGAGACATATCCATCCCCACCAAATCTGGAATCCCCAGCCTGCATTGTGACAAAGATGCCCACTTCTATACATCACGCAAAACAGCAGAGTGTAATGCTATAGAATCCACCTTCGAAAGCTACCATTCCCTCCAGGTGAATTGACCTCTGTTGTCTGGACCAACCACTATTCCTGGAGATCACCAGCCCCCACCTGGAGGTTGGCAACCCTAGGTACAAAGCAGAGTGCCGTGGCAGACCCTACTTGGACAGGCCTGGAACCCTGTACAGGCAAGCGGCCAGAACGCTGTCGCCCTACTGCCTTTGGCTACAGGGAAGGCAGGGTAGGAAGTTGTCTGGATGGTCAAATCATATGATGTCCCAGCAGCTGCCAAAGCCTGTGAAACTGTCGCAGTCACAGACCACCACAATCCATAACGTTCCACAGGCCCGCTTATATTTTAGCCAATGCCTCTCTTCAAAGCTGTAGGCTTATTGCTTCTTCCGTCCCTCCTCTTCCTCCGCTGATCTCTCTGATCTTTTTCTGAGAACCACGTGTTACGGCTTCGGAGCTTAATCGCCTCCTCGAGACAAGACCTGGTTCTCTCATCCTGGCGCATCTCGGGCTCCACCTGCACTTCAAGGGAAGTGTTTGGGCTGCTATGAATGTTACCTTCCCATGGCTTTCAAGGAAGCAGGGCAGCTGCCATCAAGGTAATGGGCCTTCATATTCGTGCCCTGGGGAAAGGGGAACAGGACAAAGCAGAGACTGGCATAAAACTGTCTCCTGCAGGGTTTGGAGGTCAAGCAGGGATTCTGTCGCTCCATCTGCTCCTTATCAGCTTGCAGCTGGATCATCGCAGGGCTCAGGATTTCTATTTCCTAGCTAGAGCCTGGGCTGAGGAGGTGAGAATTTGCAAGGGGGGGAGAGAGAGGGGAAGACATGCAAATGCCAGTAAAGACGAGGAGGAGCAAGGTGGGGTAGAGCTTTTCTGTTCTGAGATTAAATCACTAAGATAAAATTAACTATATTTTATTCCTTTTGGTTGTATGTAAATTGGGGGGGGTCATTTTAAAACATCACAAATAGCTAAAGAAAAAAAGAAAAACATCTTAGGTTATCAAGTCACTGTGGTGTGGTCGTTAAGAGTGTCGGAATAGTATCTGGGAGACCCAGTTTCGAATCTCCCACTCTGCCAGGGAAGCTTGCTGGGTGACCATAGGCCAGTCACCCAGTCTCAGACCTTGGGCCAGCCACACACTCTCAACCTCAAGGGTTGTTTTGAGGATAAAATGGAAGAGAATGATGTCAACCACTTTGGATTCCTGTTGGGGGGAAAAGGCAGGATATAAATTAATTAAATGATAAATAATAACAGGCTAATTCAATGAAGAGACCTTATTTCATAGAGAAAAATACATAGATGGAGGAGGTTATCCTAGAATTTATGATGCCTAAATGCAGTCAATAAAACCCTCTTTTTCAACAACTGTCAGTTTATCATGGAATCTGCTTTTCACTTGTGCTCAAAGGGTCTACTACAGATAGGATAATTCCAGAAGGGCAGCTGAGTTGGTCTGTAGCAGCAAAATAAAAGCAGGAGTCCAGTGGCACATTGGTGGTAGAAAGTGCTGTCAAGTCAACCGCTGACTTGTGGCAACCCTGGAGGTTTCCCAGGAAAGAGATGAACAGAGGTGGTTTGCTACTGCCTGCCTTCGCATAGCAACCCTGGACTTCCTTGGTGGTCTCCTGTCCAAGTACTAACCTGGGCCAAGCCTGCTTGGCTTCTGAGACCTCATGAGACCAGGCTAGCCTGGGCCATCCAGGTCAGGACAGCAGAGACTTGCAAAACTTATTGCAGCGTAACTTCCAGAGTGAGAGCTGTCTCCATCAGATGCACAGACTGTATGACACATTTCCTTATTTCTGCTATGGCTGTACACTTCATGCGTCTGATAAAGTGAGCTTTGACTCCCGAAAGGTTATACCGCAATAGATTTTGTTAGTCTTTGAGCTGCCACTGGACTCCTGTTTCATTGCATATTGGAGTAGCCCATTTGCAGAAGGAAGGCTATACATTGCTGGGGAACACAATAGGAAAATTTCCACATCTCACCGTTATTATTTTTTTTGGCAACACACATCGTTAACATAGTGCTGCTGTCAAGTGTAGATGCTTTTGAAAAGATGATATATATATATATTCAGTCAAGAAGAATGACAGATGCAGGTTACAGTCAAATGGAAGGAAGGAGGAGGACTCCCCCCCCCGAATCTTTTAAAAGCCTGGGGCTGTACAAACCCCCCCATGGCATTTTTCTGTCCTCCTACGTGTAGAAACTTGTTTTGCACTGCTACCAAAGGCTAACCCACTGTCAGAACCCACAGCTAACAACGAAGTACACACATTCAGGAACAGTTATACTTTTATTGCAAAGCTATAGATGCAGTAACATAGGCACTGTTAAGAAAATTGCTATAAAATGATGTATAGATGGTATATGAGGCCTAAAAAATTGCTATTATGAGTGACAATATGTCTAACAAGTGTTGGAAATGTAAAAAAAAAAGAAGGTTCTTTTTACCATATGTGGTGGACGTGTGAAAAAGCAGTGAATTTTTGGACGGAGGTCCATAATGAGATGCAAATTTTTTTGAAATGTACCTTTAAAAAAGAACCAGAAATACTACTTTTGGGTCTTAAAATGGAAGAAGTGAATGTAACAAAGAGAACACTGCTATGGTATTTGATCACAATGGCCAGAATGACTTATGCTCAGTACTGGAAACAAGAACGAGTACCTGAGATTTGGGAATGGATAAGGAAGTTGCTTTTTATGGCAGAAATGGACAAATTGACAAGGAAACTTAACAATAAAGAAGACGAAGAATTCTTTGCAGACTGGATGGACTTTAAAGAATATTTGGAGAAACATTGGGATGTTAAGAGCAATTTGTTTTGCTTTGATAACTATTAAGAATAGAATGAGGAAAGAGTTGAGTAGAAGTTGATTATAGTTAAAGAAAATGTCACCTATGAAGTTGATATAAGAATAAGATAGTTAAAGGAATTGTTACTTAGTAAGTTTTGTCTTAGAGGAAGAGATGAATAAGAAAAAGAGATATGGAGGGGGTGGGATCACTGCGGGGAGCCTGAAGAAGGGGAGGGAGGGGGAAAAGGAAAAGGGGTATAATGTGAATGATGGAATGTTATAATATTGGACATGTTGATATATCCTGACAATAAAATGTTTAAAAAAAAAAAAAAAAAAGAATGGCGGCATCCAATTGAGCCTAAGAGGATATAGGGTATTCGAATGCACCCCCCCCCATGGCATGGGCCAATTAGATGCCCTCCCGTGCGCGGGACGTGTTAGGAAACTGTTATGTGGCTAAAGCTGGGAACCAGGAGTCTCTCATGGTACATAGGAGACTTCCAGACAATACAACCTCCTTCTGCACATCTGTAGAAATAAGCATTTCAGCAAAGGCAAGACTAAAGGGACAGGAATGCAATAGCAATTACTAAAACACAGAATGAACTCCCCAAACCCCATGGCAGCATAGCTGACACCCACCCCCGCTTGCTTTTCCAGTTAGAACCCCAAGTTGAGCTTTCAGCTGTGACACAAAGAGGGCCAGTTGTAACCTCACAGCTCTGAAGGGTTGCAAACAGCCTTAATGGCCCCCTCGTGGAGCCCCCCCCCCAGGTTCTTTAACCAAGCCTTAACTTTCCCCCTATCTATGTTAGATGCAGTTCAAACTTTTCTCTGCAGAAAACTAAAGATGAAAACAACCACCCCCACCACCACCTGCCAATGTCACATTTGTACTGACCATTTGTGGATATTTTTCTTTCTGCTGCTTTGATTTCCAGACAATCCTTCTCCATATACTGCTGTGCCTACTCACTTTCTACACCATCTATTACATGATCGGGAGTGTTTGCTGCGGGGTGTTCAGGTGAGGCCTTCTCCGTCTAAAACTACGGGTATTAGACTCGATCTCTCTGTTTTGGCATCTTCGCAAGCCTTCCGTCTTCATTAGGCTCTCCCAGGGCTTCTCCACCACCACCACCACCACTCTGCATAGCACAGTTCTGGCACACTTTTAATTACAACACAGGCCATTTATTTTCATTTCACTCGAGCTTCATGTTGTTGACATATCAGTTTGCGTGTCCCTAGCACCAGCTATGTAAATGTGTGTGTTTTTATAAGATCATTTAAAAGGGAGGATAGCCACGTTAGTCTGTAGTGGTGGAATAAAATGGGAGTCCAGCAGCACTTTTAAAGATGTTTATTCCAACATGAGCTTCCGTAAGCATATATACATACTGCATTGGATGAAGTATGATATATAGAAGCATATACTGGAATTAGGGTTGCCAACGTCCAGGTGGCTGGTGGCACCTGGAGATCTCTTGCTATTACAATTGATTTCTATACAACCAAGATCAGTTCCCCAGGAGAAAGTGGGTGCTTTGGAGGGTGGACTCTATGGCATTATATCCTGCTGAGGTCCCTCCCCAAACCCCATCCTCCCCAAGCTCCACCCCCCCCCCAAAACCTCCAGGTAGCCAATGGAGTGACTACAGGTTGGGTGTGATGTGCATGTTCTGCCTTGTACTCACTAGTATTTGGACTCCCACATTCTGTACCAACTGGAGTTTCCCAGTTGATCTCAAGGTGAGAATTTGGCCCTCAAGCATGCTACGGAGCAGCAGATCCACATCCATGACTTAACAGTTTGCTGTACTGGTTAAGATGTCAGACCAGGATGTGGTTTGAGCCCCCACTCAGCTACAGAAGCTCAACGGGCCATGCTGTCTCACCTTAACCTGCCCCATAGAGTTATTGTGAGGTGAGGATGAAATGCAAGAGGGGGTGAATGTAGTGTTGCCAGTCTCCAGGTGCTGGCTGGAGATCTCCCAAAATTACAACTGCTCTCCAGGTAATAGAGAAGAGTACCCCTGGAGAAAATGGCTGCTTTGGAAGGTGGACTGTGTGGTATTATATCCCATGGAAGGTGGACTCTGTGGCATTATATCCCCTCCACAAACCCTGCCTTCCCCAGGCTTCACCCCCCCAAATCTCCAGGAATTTCACAACCCAGATTTCGCAACCCTAGGTGAATGTTGTTGGAATCTGGTTTCCCCCACCCCCCACCCCAGGTAGAAGAGCAGGCTATATAAAAACAAACAATTTTGTTCTACAGTTGTGAATCAGGATTAATACAACCTGGCCGTGATAAAGGATTAATAAAACCACAGTACAAAAATGGGAGGGCTGGGTCAGCTCCTTCAACACTTGTTCACATAGACTGATGGCTCAGAAGTCCTATCCCATGTATGGAAACCACATCATATTATCTAACAAGCTATGTTTGGAGACAGTATATGACTCAGAATCTGACATTGTGCTTTAGAGTTTGAAAACTTTACACACAGTGTCTTGTCATTCTTACAACGGCCTTGTGAGGTAGGTCAGTATTATCCTTATGAGCGCAGCTTGTCTTAGCCAGTGTGGTGTAGTGGCTAGGTGTGGCAGACTCTAATCTGGAGGACTGGGTTGGATTCCCAACTCCACCACATGCAGCCAGCTGGGTGACCTTGGGTCATTCACAGTTCTCTCAGAACTTTCTCAGCCCCACCTACCTCACAGGCAATGCTCCCTCTAAGCTGTGGAGTCTTGTGGGCAAAAATTCTACTTTGTGAGCTACTGGCAAAGTTGTGAGCTTTACTGTATAAATTAGTTTGCTCTGGAGCCATCCTTCCTGAGCTAAAACAAAAAATGTGTGAGCCTGAGGCTAAAAAACTGTGAGCTAGCTCACACTAACTCAGCTTAGTGGGAACCCTGCCCACAGGGTGACTGTTGTGGGGAGGGGAAGGGGAAGGAGTTTGTAAGCTGCTCTGAGACTCCTTTGTGTAGTGAAGAATAGGGTATAAAACCAACTCTTCTTCTTCAGCTCTCCTTCATGCCACCAAATAGGTGCACACCAGAGCTAAGATTCCAACTAGTGTCTTCCCCATTTGTAGTCAGTCTTCTTGCTTCGTACTTGGAAACAGAATACTGAAGCACCAAACCTGCAGCTTATTCAGTAAGGCTCTTCTTATCAGGCAGGCTCCAGTGGCTGGTAGACCTGGTGTCCAGAGGCCAGGTCTAATTTTACTGATTCCAAGGACAACTAAGGTAGAGACACTAGGTGCTACAGAGGGTCCTTCCAATTCTTAATTTTTTTGAAGAGATTATGAATGTAGCCTTTTATGCAGAGTGAAAAGTACTGGGTTCGCCGCATGGAGGACTCGGATGACGACATGCGGTTGCACACGTTTATTGTACTTAACACAAGACTAACTCTAACGGCCCGATAGGGCCAACTATATACATATCCACCCAGCACCCCCTATTCCCATTGGAAGGTTTGAATGTCCCAAGTGGCTATTGGTTGGGGCTGGGGGAATATGGAGAACAAGAAAAGTGAACAGTAATCATCTTAGCCCATGGCAGGTTCTACTATACATTACAGCTGTTATGATTATTGAAACTCTTCTTTGATAATTGTGAGACGTCACCAGAGGATATAAACTATTGAGAGACAGTTTTTGTCCCACATCTTTGTTAAGAAGAAGATCTTCCTTCGAGGTGGCAGGACATTCCGGAGATCACCGTCAATATATTTTTTTATGATTATGTATATTATTTTTGTTCACTTTTCTATGATTCTTTAAAGACGTGTATTAAGCGTCACTTTTTCACAGTTTTTCTTGTTCTCCGTATTATCTCATTACTGTGCCAATCAATTGTTATTATACCTGTTTTAGGGGGCTGGGGGAAACCAGGATCCAAAGTTTCCTTTGTTCCAGGAGCCAAGCTCCTGCATGTGCCGCGGACCCCTGGTGGCGGTCCACGTACATAACACAGAGATCCCCAACGTAGTGCCCATGGGCAATGATGTTCACCAAATGTTTTTTAAAAGTGGGTGAAGCCAGGTGAGGCTTCAGCTCAACAAGGCTTCTGATTGGCTATTGGAGATTTGATTGGCTGTGCAGGTTTTGAAAAATGTGCTGCAGTGGCAGCTGCTGCCAAAGCAACAAGGATCTTCGCGGTGTGACCAAAGGTAAGCTGTAGCAGTCATTTTGTGGTTAGTTATACCTCTTGCAGCACCCATTTTGTGTCAGCCATCCTGTGGCTGCACTCACCACACTGTGTTGGAATTCCAAAGGTGCCCATAGGCTCAAAAAAGTTTGGGGACCCCTGCTCTAACGAATCCTTTCTAACCTTAAGTTTCCCTCCTCTCTCTTTCCTCTCCAAGGCTTAACTCTTTTGATGCACATCTCCCTTTTGAATTTAAAACGGAGCCATCCTACTCGAACCCCAACTATCTGGGTGAGCTTGCACTGGGGAAGAGAGCTCTTCAAGCCCCTGTAGATGAAGCTGTTGATGCAGGAAGAGGAGAGGGCTGGAGAATAAGATGACACTCCACAAATCTAGAGGGACAAGAGGGAGGCCTTTAGGAAAAGGAACCTGCCCCGGCTGTACCCGATTGCCTGTTTTTTGCTCCTTTTTCTATAAAGGAGCAAACATAAACAATTGCTTCCTCCCCCAGACTACCTGGTCATGATGGCTGCCAGCTCCGGGTGGGACAATACCTTGAGATTTGGGAGGTGGAGCCTGAGGAGGGTGGGGTTTGGGGAGGGGAGGGACTTCAAGAAGAAATAATGCCATAAAGTGGTCATTTTCACCAGGGGAACTGAGCTCTATCACTTGGAGACGGGTTGTAATACCAGGAGATCTCCAGCCACCACCTGGAGCTTGGCAACCCTACCAGTCATACCCATTCCTTTTCTCCCCCTTACCTGAAGGGGAAGCTTACCTTTAAACCCCATAAATGTATTTGGTGAGGATAGTAGTAACTGTTGTCAAGTTACCCCAAGTTATGGCGACCCGTCAGGGGGTTTTCAAGGCAAGAGAATTCGGAGGTGGTTTGCCGTTGCCTGCCTCTGTGTAGCAACCCTCGAGTTCCTTGGTCATCTCTGATCCAAGTACTTACCAGGGCTGACCCTGCTTAGCTTTTGAGATCTGATGAGATTGGGTTAGCTTTGGCCACCCAAGTCAAGATCATATAGGTATCACGAGTTTTTTTCTGCAAACCTGGCAATTATCCCATGTTCACAAAAACATACACCACCACAGTCCTCCTCTTGCGAGTTTAGAGCCAATGGCTAGAGCCAGCCCTCTGAAGAACAGCTGATAGAGATTGGATTTTCTGTATCCACTACTGAGGTTGGTGGTCCTACCCCACCAGGCAGTCTTCACAGATTGATAGCACAGTCCCTTCAATTCAGTGGGACTGCTTTTCATCAGGAGTACCTTTCCCATGAGAAAAGGCTGAAAAACTTTTAGGTTAGTGGCTAAGGGGTGGGGGAGGACATGATAAAATTATGGATGGAGTGGAAGAACCTGATAGAAAAAGCCTTTTCTCCTTCTCCCATTATACTAGAACTCTGGGATACCCAATGAAGTTGATGGGCAATAAATACTGAACAGACAGAAGGAAACGATTCTTTATTCAATTAATAACATTGCAAAATTCACTGTTGATGGAGACAGCAATGGCCCCAAGCCTAGATGACTTTAAAAGGGTGTTAGATTCATGGGGGGCAGAGTCCATCAAATGTCTACTAGTCCAGATGAGCAAAGGGAACTTCCATATTTAGGAGCAATACATTTCAGATAGGCGGCAACATCAGGGAAGGGTCTTTGGCTTCCATGCCCTGTTTGTTGGCCTTCAAGGGCAACTGGTTGGCCACTGTGAGAAACCAGTGCTGGACTAGATGGACCTTTGGTTTGATTTCAGCAGAGCTCTTCTTATGTTCTTCCTGCATTTCTGGTCAGGAAGCAGAGACTGGGAAGGGGGGGGGTGGACACTTTGTTTAGATGTATAGCCTCCTCCAGCAGCTAGCAATACAGGAAAATCATTTTTATATGAGTTTTTAGTGTGTGTGTGTTTTTTTAAATCTCTTCTTCCCTTTTCCTCCTTCCCCAGTGAATGTCATTTCCATGGAAATCACCTTTTTCAGTAGTGGCCTGTTCTTTGCTGTGATGCTGAAACGGTGGGTCTGGGACTATGCCCTCACAGTCACCTCCATCCACTTGCTGTTGACCTGGGCAGGTGAGTTGACAGATGCTTTGAAGCTGGCAGAAAGAACCTGTCTTTGCTTTGAGCCACGGCTTTAAAGGACCAGAGCTAGGAATGATTTTGGATTTCTTATCCTGAAAAGAAAAAGAAAGAAAGAAAGTCTTCATTTGGATTTTACTTCTGCTTTATGCAAATCATGATTCTGGGGTTCGTTTTCCTTTTCTCAGTTTGATGCTTTTCCAGTGAAACATGCAGGGCTGGATCCAGACTAAATCGGCAAATCCTGCCCTTTCTCCCTGCCTGCTACAGACCACATCATGCTGTTCCTCAGAGCCCCCAATCCCCATGGAGCATTGTTTTGGGGAGCTCAGTGGGAGAGGGGAGACAGGGAAGTTCCATGCCACTAATGGAAAATTTAGTCTGGATCCCACCCACAGGGTTTTACGTTTTAAAAAATATTTGTGTTATTTATAGTCTGCCTTTCTCACTGGGACTCAAGGTGGATTACACCGAGAAAGTCATACAATCGACAGGGTGGGACATTCAGTGAACCATGCAATAGGAATTAGGGTTGTAGAACCAACCAGAAATCTAAAAAACAGAACTGATACAAAGCACTGAGTGTTAACATGACACATTAAATGATTCAAGACTACACAGTAGGATCCCAGTTACAGCAAACCATACACAGTGGTATAGACCACAGTCCCTAATAATTCATTCAAGTAACTTTATGAATCATTTTGTACAGTGCTACTCTATCGCCTACACAGAAAAGCCCTCTTGAATAATTCAGTTCTGCATAGCTTGTGAAAAGCCAGGAAAAATCAGTAGAACAAACTTTGCACTATTGCTTCAGACCAACACAGCTACCCACTTGTATCTATCTTCATGGAAGGAGAGATCAGTGTTGTGCGCATTATATGATTTGTATGTACCTCTGATTTATTTTAAATACCCCCGTTACAAAAGGAAACCTTTATTTAAATGATGTACCACACCACAGGCTAGTCCTGAATGTGCTAGTCCAACTCATTCTGGGAGAAAAGGCTCAGTGTTTGTGTTAAAGGCTTGTTCCTCTGGTCCTTCCCAGGCTTAAATACCCACAACAGGAAGGGAAACAGAAGCTCAGTTTAGATTCCATGCTGCTGGCAAATACGTTCCCAAGATTCCCTCCCCTGCTAGAAGAGCCTCTGGCCCTTCCCGGGCTTAAATACCTATAAGATTTCCTGCCCAGCTAGTAAACTGGATGGTCCTTGCATGAATGACAAAACCGGTAAAGATGTGGCACCCAAACCAACAGAAAAAAGTAGAGGATGAAACCCGCTTGTACAAATGAATATAAAAAGAAACAGAATATGGAACATGCTCTCATCTGTAACTAGTACAGTGGAAGAGACGACATCTAGATTGGATGTTAGCATATTTGCTTCAGATCCCTGCTCAGGGCTAAAACATGCACACTTCCCTTGTATTTTCAAAGTAGCTTTAGAATTTTAATCTACTTCTTGTTCAGTGAGGGAAAAAGAGAAGTGCATCACTGAAGGCTGAACTGGCCTCTGGGGGGGGAAACACTTTCCACTCCAGAATGAGGAAACAGAAGCAAAAACTCTGAAATGTCTTTTGATCCACATCACATTCAAGGAAATCGTGTCAGGATAATGGTAAGGTGTTCTCATATTCAAGGGTGTATAAAAAGAAGAGAAGAAGAAGAGATTGGATTTATACCCTGCCCTTCACTACCCAAGGGAGTCTCAGAGCTGCTTACAAATTCCTTTCCCTTCCCCTCCCCACAACAGACTTGTTCCTAGCAAATATCCCGTATGAAGTGTAATTTATTGAAAATATTCCTCCTTTGCAGGAGTTTCAAAGTGGAGGTGTCACGACTGACAAGGCCCTGTATCCAGTAGCCACCCACCATTATTTTAGAGAGCTATGTGTCTAGGATATTCACAAAACTCTACATCACCAAATATGAGCTATCTACTTGCAGACATGGTCCATCAAAACAAACCCATCTATGCTTTTTTCACTTCCCATTTCATGAATAATAAAATGTTCAAATAGGTATTTAACAGGACTATTGTACGGTGCAGTCATATAACTGTTCTGTGCTTGCATTTCAGTAGAATGCACAGGGAATGTCACTGGAAGCAGCAAACCAAGAGATGTGCCCTTGCCCAGATTGAGGGGAACGGAATGGTGGTTACCCAATTTGGCTCTCTCTTAATTAGTGGTGGGAATTAGCTTAAAGGAGACTAGTGAGCGGGTGTGACGGGGATCTCCACCAATGTATACCAGGATTATTCCCACAGAGAATTCTCAGAATAAACCAGTCAGATGCTCAACCAGTAAAAATTTTTATTGAAAAATAATAAAAGAGTAAAACACACACACAAAACATGCTTAACACACTTGCAAGACTAGCTAAGAGAAGAATAGGGAGTAGCGGGGAGACAGAGTTTAGGAGAGGTGATATTTACCAATCTAGATGAACAGATCTGCAGAGAGAGAGCTGTGAAGTGGCCAGTGCTTCACGGAAGGTCCCACACGCAAGTGTGGTTGTGAGGTAGGAGCCAAGAACACGCACACAACCACAATGGAGATGGGTGCTTGTATTTACAGGAAAAATGTTCCCTGAGGCACTATGACAGGTTTGCACACCCCCCCCAATAGCTTGATGTGTTTACTGGATTTGGACAAAGCTTGATGGTCCTCCGGGAGGGAGATCAAAGAATTGGAGCAGAGTTTGATGGCTCACCCGGGGATAGGATATGGGTCTTACTATTCACTGATGACCCTGGTGTGCAGGAGGGGAGGTGTTATGGATATGTAAACAAGGGAAAATGTGCAAAAGGGGGAAGCAGGGCTGGGGATGAAAGAGGGTAATTCAAGGTGAAGTGCTGTTTTCTTGAGAAACCCACTGCTATAAATTAGGCATTACTTTAGGGCAGAAGAGGGTTGTTTGCCAGTCAGCCTCTTGATTCACTTCCAAATAGTTTCCCAGGCTGTTCTTCTGACTGACATCCCTTTTGGGATCACTTCTGGGCCAAACTGTGTGTTGTACTTATGATATTTGGAATTATATTGTATGAAGGCTGTTCGGGCTTCTTTTTCTCTTTGGATGCCAGCTACCCATCTGTGGGAGGGGTCTGACTGCTAACACGGATAATCAGAGAAATGACAGTAGAATGAAGCAAGGCAAATTCTCATATCCTTGGCAAGGAGTGTGTGGATTTTTCTTAGCTGTCCAGCTTGGTGACCCTGAGAGCGAGTTTAGTGTAGTGGTTAGGAGCACGGGCTCTAATCCGGGAGAACTGGGTTTGATTCCCCACTCATCCACATGCAGCTGCTGGTGTGATCTTGGGTCTGTTACAAGTCCTCTCAGAGTTGTTCTCTCAGGAGCAGTTCTTGAAAGAGCTCTCTCAGCCCCACATACCTCATAGGGGGCTGTTATGGGGAAGGGAAGGGATTGTAAGCCACTCTGAGACTCCTTTGGCTAGTGAAGGGCATTGTATAAATCCAACCTCTTCTTCTTAGGTCAGTCACAGTTCTCTCAGAGTTGTTCTCTCAAGAGCAGTTCTTTCAGAGCTCTCTCAGCCCCACCTACCTTACAGGGTGTCTGATGTGGGGAGAGACTGTAAGCCCTCTGAGTGAAGGGTGGGTTGCACTCTGGCCGACAGCAGCTCTCTGGAGTCTCAGGCTGAGGTAGTCAATACCACCATTTCCCAACCTGTGGGTCAGGACCCAAAAGTGGGTTGCAAAGCCTCTGAAAGTGGGTTGCAGGCCAGCAACTAATGGTTGCATCTACCCTTTTCATTGCTCTGTTTTGTGATTTGGAAACCAAGATCTGACCCTGGAAACAGCATCTTCCATGTTATATATCAGTTGGTATTTTCCCTGCCCCTGCATATACATTTGATCAAATAAAACATGTCCTGGATGGTTACTAAATGAGTTCCTTAGAGTCTTGGGGGGAATTAGAGGGAGTAATGGAGAAGGAGAGGATGATCAAAGGCTGGAATGTAACCTCCATATGCAAAGTCTATGTATGCCACTTGCTTGGAGTTCATAGTGTGCAGCGTTTCTCAAAAACATCTGGTTAGCTACTGTAGAAAATGGAATGCTGAACTAGTTGGGTACCAAGGTCATAGTTTGCCTAGGGTGCCAAAAAACCTTGGGCCAGCCCTGGATTGGTCATCATACCAAGTAAATTTGGATTTGTGAGTCACCGTACCAAAAAAGGTTGGGAACTGTTGGTCTGCATAACCTACTGGAGATGCTAGGGACTAAACCTGGGGCCTTCTGCATGCCAAGTAGATGCTCTACAACTGAGCCACAGCTCTCCTTTTCCTTTTGAGAGCATCTCCCCCAGGAGACTGAGCCCAGCCTTCTGCTCCTCCCCACAGCAACAGGCTACCTGGAAGAACTAAGGATTGTGTTTGAAACGGCTTTCAAGAGAATGTGAACTTTATCAAGCGTCTTTTCTAAAAGCCTTTGCGACAACCCTCCTTCCCAGCCACTCTCTGCCTTTGATAATGTTCTGTCCAATTAACTTTTGAGCCACGTGGAACTAATTTCCCTTCCAGCCAAACATGGCTGCAGTTTATTTCTCTTGCAAGGCAACGTCAGCAAGACGAGGTGTCACATCTGCAGCCTGCCATTGGACAAGGAAAGAGACACCCATTGTTTCTGTGATACCCCTAGAGTTACACTGCCCTTGCTGTTGGGTTTCAGGGAGGGTGTTTATTGAAAAACAAATCATTTAACTCGTAAAACAAAGCAATTTTGCTTTGAACAGGGAGGTGGGCAGGTTCCTGGCAGAAGGGATGGTGCTAATTTTGAGACACAGGTTCCTGCATGCTTTCCTATTAGGGCCACTGGATCTTCTTCCTCCACACGTATGATTTATGTCTGCTGGCTCCCAATGTGATAAACTGCAGCTGCTCCTGCTGCACAAGCAAAGCTGTTTCTCTCCCTAAGTCACAATTTAAAGAGAGGACTTCTGGGCTTCGGGATGGAGATGGATGGGTGAAAGGAGTAAGATAGGCAAATTCACAAATGATTGATGAGCCTTGCATACGGGAAGCAGGGGCACAAATAGACAGATGG